GAGAATTCTCTTTTTCTCGCTCTTTTTTTTCTCCTTAAAAGCCACACCAGCACCACCATCCTGGTATGTAGCCAAGGGAGAAAAGGATGGAGGTTGAGATACTGACAGGCTGCTTGTGCTGCTGCTAAGGTAGCTCCTAACTTGTGATTTAGTAAAGAAATAATGATGTGCAATAATTTAGAATGGTCTCTCTGTCTTCTAGTCATAAATCTCCTTTGCTAGGAAGAAGAAGTAAGATGTCTTGCTTTCTCCTTGCTGGATGCTGTCCATGTTTAGGTGGCTTTGCATACAGGAGGCAATTCGTACTGCAAATGCACAACTCTTCTACTATCCATCTGCCATCCTTTTCATCTGTGCCAGTAGCAACGCCATATAAATCCTGCAGTGCTTATGGTTGCAGGAAGCATCTCTGGGATAAAAGATAGAAAAAGCTTCTGGCAAACATGCCAGGGTTTTTTTGGGTTTTTTGGTTTTTTGGTTTTTTTTAATACGTGAGCCTCGGATTTTTCTTCCTGTCAGTTCTGCTACAATGAGACTTTTTTTTATTGTGGAAAGGATGTATACACATTTTTTAACTGTGTTGCTGAGTTAACCACTCAGGAGAAATGCTGGAGAGTTCCAAACCCTGGTACCACTGGAGAGGAGTTATTACATCATAGCCTTTTTAAATGCGAGTTGCAAGTACAAATTTTCTTTTGCAGTTTTTAAGCTGCTTTAAAAAGCAAAACTGGAAACACAGATTCAAGCTCACACCTGCTTTTATACCTGCTGACTTGTGATACGAGACAAGATGTGTCTCATGTACTAACAACAAAGCCTTTTTTTTAAAGTGACTAAATAATCCATACTTTTGAAGTTCTCAACACTGCAAAAGAATTATGGCATTTATTTAAGAGTTTGAAGATGTAATTAAGCATCTAATTTTAAACCTGCACAGTCAATAATGTTGGACTTTGCTAACAAGTTACTTCCTTTTTATGGTGTCTGCCAGCTGCTGAAGTATGCATTAGTGCATTGACATATTAATGCATTTTAGTAATGGAGGTACCTGATCAAGCAGCAGCCAAATGACCACAAAATAAATGTCTGAGTTGAAATCAGAACCTGCCATAAACAACAGAAAACTGCTTGCCTTTATCTTGCATTGACATCCCTATTCCCATCTGACTTGAAAAACTGGACCTGGTTGGTGGCCCTTATAGTCTTAGGACCCAGCATCCCCTCTTATCCATTACTACATTAATGGTAAAATGCATTATTTTCTTGGGCCTTCTTCATGCCTTTGCCTCCCCCTTTCTTTGGCTCATTTTTTCCAGAATAGCAATATGTTCCTGTAATTCTAATTAAGCATATTCTGACTTGCTCATAAATTAAAATCAAATACTTAGCTATTACTAATACGCTCTAGCCTACCTGGTCATAATGAGATACAGGCCTTCCCCAGTTCCTGGGTGGAGCTTTCACCCTTGTCTTAGAGCTGACCTGGAGCAGTGAAGGTGGCTCTGCACCCTCTGTGCTCGCTAAATTACTGCAGGCACTCCGCAGCTGTTGCTGATCTTGGCTTTCCAGTATTGCTTGCCTGTCACTCACTTGCCAGATTCTGTACGCTGGATGCTCCTTGAGATGGCATTTGAATATAGTCCAATTTCTCCCAGTGGGGAGGTGTGACACCAAATCAGTAGGAGAAGTGGCATTCTCAGGTCCAGCAGATACAGCAGTGTCACCCAGTTTGTACTGATCTGTTGAACAGCAAACCTGTCATGTAAGGGACAGTCAGAAAATTACGAGACAGGTGTTTAACACTGCCGAAGCAATCTTGGTATTTAGCATGCTGAGAATACCAGCTAATCACGGAAGGCTTGCCTAGATGTCTGGATTCCTTTGGCTCCTGAGGTATTTTGTAGATGTTGACGGACAGTATGAACTTTAAATCAATTTATTGCATATGTTTACATATGCAGCGAAACCATTTGCCATACCATTTAACTACACAGAGTGAATTGTTGACCATGAGCTGATCTGACCTTTTCAGGTCTAATCAAGAAGTCTGAAATATTATTTTAGCCTGTCAACTCCAGTAATATGCTGTAAGAGTATCTGGATCTAACTGAAAATGTCAAATGTGCTCTAATATGCAACCCATCAAAGTTACGATGCAGGAACCAGTTAAGAATATAAATCTGTAACATCTGTGGTGCATCTCAATTGCCTGGGTGAGTTATTCTGCCATTGATACAAGCTAGCTAAAAATGTGGATTAAAAGCAATTCTTTGGAATACATGTGAGGTGTACAGTCACCTAAATATTAAAATTATCTTGGAAGAGGGGTGATAATTCCAAGTTAGAATACTGCTGGAAAAAACAGGGCCCAACCTGGATACTGATGCTCTAGGGAGTGTCTTGCTAGCTTTAGTGTGTGGTTACGTAAGATTAGTGGTCTCGTGTAACCTCAGAATTTTCCTTTCTAATTTTAATAATTTGCTGCTTGTTAAGATTTTGCTCTTTCAAATAATAATTTATTATATAAACTGAGGTATCCCTATCAATGTTATTGCATTTAGTAGTAAAAATTTTTCATACTCTTGTGCATTTCATGAAAAATCTACTTCTCTATTAAAGGTGTTCTAAAATTCAACATTTATAAGCAGAGTATTTAATGATATTTAATCTTTTTCCTCACCTTCAAAATTTCTCTTCTTGACATTTTGTAAGATACTCAGATCTAGGATAAATCTGCCTTCAATAATTATTTATCAGGCACGAGATCAATTGTTTATCAATATAATTTCTGGATTATTAATTTAAATTTGGATTAAAGTGTATGGGTGTAATGAAAAACAACTTTGTATCCTACAAAAATGGTATTTTTTAGCTAAACAGTCTATCAAAATTGTTTAGCCTTAAAACACTTGTTACACTAAAATTGAGTTGCCTTTATCTGATTGTGGGTAGTTCTTGCAATTTGAGGTGCTATTAAACTGAATTGCTACTATTAGTAAAACGTTGTTGGAAGTAGAATTAAAATGAACTATTGGAAGCGTTGCTGAACCAATAACTGCATTAAAATAGTGTGTTTTAGAATCTCCACTTTAATGCTATTTGTACTGTTCTTACTAGGCAATGCTGCCCTCCCCTGGTATGCTGTGAAAGGCAGGAATTTTTATCCCAGTCTGAGCCAGTTCTAGAGCTTCCTGTGGAAGAGAAACTGGTGGATTGGTGAAAACGGTGGGAGAAAAATGCTCTTAAACAGACCATTATATGCTTTCTCTCTTAAGAGAGAAAGAAAACTCCAAGCAAATAATAAAACAGTCATTTTGTGCAGTGTTTTCTTGTATGCATGATGCAGATGTAGATTAATGTACAAATAATATACACTGAATCTCTTGTTAATACATGGTAGAGGGCTGAATTAATTTTGTATGGCATTTTGGAGGATGAATTGAAGACAAAATAAAATAAAAATTGAAGATGCAAGGTGATAGAAGGACCAATTACAAGGAACTTTTCTACAACAGTAAGGTTTTGTCTTGTAAACATGAATGATAGATCTCTAAACAGTATATGTATGTTCAATTCTGCAATAGAGAAGTAAATGTGACCATGGCCAGCAGCTTGCATGGGAATAGGACCGGGTCTTGTGCAAATGAAGCTGTAGCAAAACCATCATCTGCTGTCAGAGTCTATTGATTACAAAGCTATCACCACAAGCTCAGGAAGTCCCTTCACTGCACAGCCCTGAGAGCTGAGAAGGTAGTCCAAGGAAATACTACTGTTGCATGGTCTGTTCTTTAATGTATTTCCTCAGGTGTCTGGTACCAACTGCTGCTGGAATAGAATATTGTGGTAGAAGATTCTTTAGGCTGTCCTACTGTGGCTCTTATGTGTTAAATGCATCTCTGTTTGCTTTAATTTTGTAATCCATTTCTCACTGCTAGGCAATTTCACCGTAGTCCAGATAGCAGAAACAGCTACGCCTTGTTGCAAATACAGGAATTTTAGTTCCCACATCTGAGTCTAATAAAGTGTGTGGAGTGAACTTTGCTTTTTTGTTTGTTTGCTTTTTTTTAAGGTAGAGGATATCACTTTCTTTTTATGGTCACGATTTTTCTAATTGCTGGGCAACTTGAAAAACACACAACTTTTTGTTCCTGTAGCATGTGATTTGACTAATGTTTTGCTTGCTCCTCATTCCTTTTAATGCATTGGAGATCACCTAACACTGGAGAAAACTGGAGAGAGTATGTTCACATATTTTTTCATGTCTTAAATCTGAACAGATTGCCACATCAGGAGGGAGGTGTTTCCCCCAGACTGGCTTGCTTGAGGATTTTGCTTGAGTGCGAGTCCTTGTCTACTATTTAGGGTCAAGTCCCCTGGGAGATGTTTTAAGAGCTGTGGAATATAATGACATTCCCAGTCTGACTTGCTCTTCTCCAGTTAGAGTTACAGCTTGTAGTGGTGTTGATATTTTACTGCAACCGTTTACAGTAAGGTCTAGGAGTTGTTCTGTGTCTATGGTGTCTGCCAATCCACAGAGCGGGTGTGGGCCATTCTGAGCTCGACTCCAACTAGTAAGTGACCTGTGACTTTGGCAGATAGAACCTGAAGATCCCAGTGGTCTTTCACAGGCTGTTGTTTCTAAAGTGACACTGCTGGCAGCAAAACAGCAGTATTTGAATTCATGCACATCAGCAAATAAGCTACAATAATCAATCCTTTTGGGAGCTAGCTGTAAAACCACTGCAACTATGGCTCCAAAGTAGTTTAAGGTTGAGCTAATCAACAGATAAGATGCCTTTTCCTTTGTGACACCCTGCCACAGTAAAACCAGTTTTACTGTGGTTCTTTTTTGTCAGATCAGTATTTTGCCAGTGCAGCATCCCCATTCAGCTCATTGAATGGTTCATGTGAACAGCAGTGTTGTTGCCCCTCGACCTCGAATGAATGTATGAGATCTAGAACTGTATAACAGCTTTCTTTCTTCTCCATAACTTTTGCAGGTATTGGGGCTGCTGGTGTGGACTCTGATCGCTGGAACAGAATACTTTCTCTATCCAGCCTTTGGCTGGGTAATGTTTGTAGCTGTGTTCTACTGGGTTCTTACCGTCTTCTTTCTGATCATCTACATGACAATGACCTACACCAGGATCCCACAGGTGCCATGGACCATGGTGGTAAATATACACATTCTTTTTTGTTCCAGATTCGCTGGGTTTTGAAGAGAATAAAATATTGGTGCATTCTACATGTATATTTAACCAACTCTACTTGTACTCTTTGAAGATTTTTCCCTAATTACTGTGTGGCTGCATACCTGCAGTGTTTAACGTTCATACTACTCGGACACTTTCAAAGCACTTTTTCTATGGTGTTTCACCATTTTGTTCAGCGATTCATGTAGTGTCTTGATTTTTAATATATGTGTGACTGATACTTATGCACAGTGACCTCTTTTTCTCTCTGTAGTGCTTATGTCCCATGAAGAATGAGTCTGTTGCTGCCTCTGAGGTAACAGACTTGGCCATATGGCTTAAACAGCAGAAATCCCTACTGGAATCAACACCATGCATTAGAAGCAGGACTTGGGCTCTTAAAACATGAGTCTTCCTCTGCTGAAGTTAAAGCAAGGATTGTTCAGAGGTTGCAACACTCTGACAGTCCATATGTAGTCTACTGTGAAAATGGTGCTGAAAATTATATATATGTAAAATATGTACCATGCAATCCTTTGCTTTGAGCTCAAGAGTTAAAGCAAATCAGATAAACAGCTACTGTAATTACAGAAAAATTTCACAGGCACTTAAAATGCAGATCCAGTTTTTATGGTTTTTGAGCAAACTTGGCCAGCTCTAACTCCCAACAGTGTATTTTTACCTCATTTACATAACAGCCTGGTCTTCAGGATAGTAGATCCTAAAAGTCATTGTCATTTCAGCCAACTGGCTATTTGTGACCCATCTAAGATTCACCATAAATTTTATCTTTATATTTGTTGGATACAGTGGAATACTGGTTTGTGGGTTTTGGGGGGTTTTTTTGGGTTTTTTTGGGCTTTTTTTTTTAACAGTTAAATATTATTGACTAGAATTCTGTTATTTCTATGATGAAATGTATTTGACTTCTGTTTTGCTAACAGCTTGTTTTCAGCTATATTGTGTATGTGACTAAAATTGAATACTAGAATACCCTTCGCTTTTAGTGTTCCCATTTGCTGCTGCAATAAATAGCCAGCTATAGCAATTACTAATAAGAACAACCAGGATTGTGTTCAGATAGCTCCTCTATTTTCAAGTTTCATAACCAGCAATTACCATTAAGGCTGTAACACTGCTATAGAAATGTTGGATTATTTCAATTACAGCAGTAATGTGTCTGAGTACATTTAAAGGTGTGGGGTTTTTTTTCCACACATTGCATTACAAGTAAGTAAAGTACATTCAAAGAGAAAGCACCTTTATATCCATTTGAATAAAGCTTTGGTCATTACCCTTCTTTCATCAGCTGAATGCTATTAGGAGACAACTGCACATAAATGAGTTGCCCCTGATCTATGTGGTAGACAAACTGGAATATTTGATTTGTTTCTTTTTCATTTCGAGTATATTTCTTGCTCTGAGTTCCAAATATGCTGTAGATGCACATAAATATAAGTCCAAAAGGTAGTCTCCTTTTATATAAAAGGGTCATATAAAGAGACAATAAATACAAAACAAATAAAAGATGCTTGTGTTCCGGCTTGTTTTGCCCTAAGGTATTAAAATAGCTTTTGGGAACAGCCCTTGAATTGGTCCTCTGCTGCTCCTGTATGGCCAAGAGGAACATTGAGTCTCTTTTCAGAGAGGTGCTTTTAAAGTCTCTGTAGGAAAGAGCAAGACACATGCCTTTTTGAATGAGTTTACACCCACCTTTACCCTATTCTCTAAAGAATCCTGAATTTCAGTATCTGCCAGTTATTTCTCTGCTTCCTTAGGCAACTGTTAGCTCAAACTGTTCCTATTTTACACTGTATCCAAAATTACATCTGGACATCTCTGTCATAAATGCACTTTTTGCAGGTTAAGCACATTACCAAATTGCTTAAGATGCAGTTACTTTTACTGCAAATTAACCCAAAAGATGTACTTCAAAACTGACTCTCCTTCATAGTGCAAGTTTTTTGCTAAAACAATCAATGGAAGCTTTTAAAATCTGGTGAATTTGAATTTAAGAAGCAGATGGTAATTTAGCATGAACCATTTGGTTTGAGTAATATATTGGCAGCAAAGGCCCAATCAGCTTGCACTGCATCCCATCTTCCCCAACAGTGTTATTTCCCAGAGCAGCCCTTTGCAGAAATTATGTGCTTTTTTCTTTTTTCTACATGACAAGATATTGCAGGGATTTATAGCTTTCCAGGGTAATTGAGTCTTTTTGGAATGGGAAATCTGAAAATTACAACAAATACTCTAGGTAATCAAATTTCGAGTTTCTAAATCAGTGCTTTACAGAAGTTCACCAGAACCTGCCAGTTGTTGGCATCTCATCCTAAAATTGACAGTTTGATATTTTATTGCTGTTCTGCTCAGATAAAACAAGGAGTGAGATCTGTGGATAGATGTAGTACCTTTTATTAAACAAATTGATATAGGTGAGATGAACCCCCCACTCATTTGTGGGGGTTCAAATCTCAAGTGCCAGTCCTTGAACTCCATCTGAGTGCTGAGGCACTGCCCAGCCCAGTTCCCTGCAGAAAGATAAGTGGATCTTTTCCACTGTTCCTTCTTAACTTCTCTTCTTGAGCTGAAGATTTTTTTTAGATTTTGCCAAAGTGAAAAGTGAATTAAATTGTGGGTAATTGGCATAAATTCCTAGCATCCACTGGGACACACAGTGGGAATTAATAAGTTGGAGTTGCACCAGTATGGCAACATTTAGGCAACTAGAGCAACAGACTTAGAGGTTATATTTGTGTGACAGTCTAAGAGTGCAAAACTGGGGTCAGAAGCTGAAGGGAGCTGATTATGTACATGAAGACCAGGTCTCTATTGAGTTATCCATTCCTGCAATTGGGTAACTTTGCACCAAGATGCAAAGCATATCAGAGGTATTCCATCTAAACATGGCACCAAATTTGTATACCTTAGACAAGTAGCAGGGTGGAGTTTGAAGGGATTTAACTTTTTTTTTTAATAAGAAGAAACTTCCATGACCAAATAGTAAAAAAGTAAAGGACAAAGTATTAAAATAACATACTTTAAAAAAACCCTCATACATTTTTCTCTTTCATCTTCTTAGACATCTGTTCTTCTTCCTTTCCTATTCTTCCTTACATGCAAAAACCAAACAAACTTTTTGTTTGCTCTCTGTAGGGTTATGTGAGGTCATTGTTATCTGCTTTGCTTATTTCTTAGTAATAAATGTAAGTACCCTGAGACATTAACTTTGCTTCTTGAAAGAAAATGCATCTGCCATGGGTCTTGATAACCCATGTAGTCCAGTCAGACTGTTCTCCTCCTTGGATTTGCCTAAAAACAGACAGAAGGGAAAGGTACTGAGAGATAGAAGAATACCACTGGAAAAAAAAGTCACTCTCTTTATGTTCTTCAATAGTGTAGAAAACAAAGTTTTGGAAGCTTTATAAATATTCCCCATATGCCAGGATTTATTGATTCCTTTCTTTGTGTAGATCAGAAATGTAATCAAAGTGCAATTTGGTCTTGTTTTATGTTTTATTTTTTATCATGTAGAGTAATATTCTTACTTCCTAACCCTTAGATCGCCGTAACCAAACTGAGTCCTTATTTTCATTTCTGGAAAATCACAGCACACCAACTTTAAGACTTTTCTCGATTTAGTGTGATGGAGAGAACAGCTTGTCCAAAATATGGCTCAATGTTTATCGATCTTCAAAGCAGTTACATTTTAATCTGACAGATAGAAACATGGAAGAAGGCAAAAATAGTTAAGAATGACAATTCTGGTTTACACTGCATGTGTTCAATGTATTTCAGAAGAGAGTTTTGTCATGTTGGAAAACAAATGGCTGTGCATATTAATGACATATGTTTGTCTTTTCAACAGGGTCTGTGTTTTAATGGAAGTGCCTTTGTTTTGTATCTCATTGCTGCCATTGTAGATGCATCTTCAGTTACCAAAGATCTGGACAGTCACAATTACAACAGCTGGGCAGCTTCTTCAGTGAGTTCATTTTTTGTTTAAATCAGTTCTATGTCCGGTAAAGTTACAGTAAATGAAGGCTCGTTGGAAGTATGGGTTGAAGTTGCAGGTGTTCTGCATTTTGAAAAGCTGCAGAGTTATAGAGGTCATACACAAAACCTATAAGTAGCTGCAATTTAGTTAATAATTTTTAGATGTGACTAGAAATTCCATCAGATAACAGTCACATCAGAAAAGGCAGTAATGTTTTTAAGATCACTCTGACTTCCTCCTCCGTTGCCCCCATTTATTACCAGCTCTCTGGCTGAGGTCAGAGCCTGCACATCAGAGCAGACAAAAAAGATTGTGTGAGCATCCAGTCACCCCAATGCACTTGGACAAGTTCAAAAGCAGTTTAAACTAACTCAGCTAACCTTGCATGCTTATGCATAAGATGCATTCAGCTTTCTGTGGACTGAGCTATTGTCCACACAGCACCTTGGGAAAGCCCTGGAATGCTATTGCTATTTCCACAATGATCTTCCTGTTGCAAGGGCAAAGCGTGAAAAATCATGTAACGTGATGAAGTCACTAATTAGTCTGACATAACTATCTTAGTGCTTAGATTTAGAAATCCAAAACAGTCAAAATGGATAAAAAATAACTTAAAAACAAAACAAAAAAGGAACAGAAAAGAAAAAGGCTTGTCACTTTTTGAGTTAGCTGAACACATTTCCTAGCAAAGTTAAGGGAGTTGTAAAAGAACTTCTTTCATGTTGTGGCAACAGGAGTCAAATTCAATTGTATACGGGAATTCCAAATTACTGAGTGTTCATGCCTCTGCAGTTGTCCTTTCCTGACTATTCAGAAATCCTGTCTTAAGCTTATTTTGTATGGCCATGAACACAGGAACTTGAACACCTGCTCTGTTTTTGTGCTGGGAATTGGATCATTAAATCCCTGTCATTTCAGTGGTGATCAGGGTCTTCTCCTCTTGGCAGTTTGTAACAGCAGATCTGTTACTCGGCCACTGCAGCTGACAGGAACTTGCTTGCTGCTAGATAAGCTTCCATGCTGATTCAGGTTTTATGCAAAATGCATGACTGTTCAGTGTCTCATGGGAGGTTTGGATTCCCTTCTAATACTTCCTAATAATGTTTATCTAATACAGTGTCTAAATAAACTATTAAATGTGGATTCTTGCTTTCAAAATCCATTAAGGGCTTCCTGGATAGAGGGTTTAGCAAATAATCTATCCCCAATAGTCATTCTGTTAGATTTTAGATTGAGCTTTTATTTAATAAGAAACAATATAATTGGAAAAAGAAGAATGCTACAGTATTTTATTGTAATAAGATTTTACATAGTCATCTACAGTTTTTTGGAGTTAGAGATTAAATTTGCACTAGACAATGCTCACCAAGAGCCCTCTGTTGAAAGGCTTAGATTGCCTGGATTAATGCTCAGCAATGCCTACCCATGCCAATGATGGCATATTAGCCAGGAACAACTGTAGAATCATGAAATATTTTTAGGCTGGAAGGGACTTCTTGGACGTCATCTGGTCCAACTCTCTCCACTCCTACAGCAGGGCTAAATCATATCAGGCCACCAAGGCCTTGTCCACTTGAATTTAAGTATTTCCAAACATGGCTATCCTGTGTGCCTGTTTGATTACTCACACTGTGGGTTGGGGGTTTTTTTTCCTAACACCTAATTGAAATTTCCTGTCCTGTAATTTGTGTTTATTCCTTCTTGTCCTCTCATTGCTCACTTCTTAGAAAAGTGGTGTTAATCTTATTTGCAGTGGCAACTTTACTTAATTCAGTTACTAGCACAAAACATTATGGTATTTTCATTAAGACCATGTTGAATATTGTCTGTTCTGAACAACATGCAGTGATTAACATGAACTTAAGCACTTGTGCTGAATTGGACTTTACCAGTACAAGTGTGATTAATCTAGCCTGCTATAGAAGGCTTATAATGTTACCAATTTCTGACAACGTAGTAATATGACAGTGTGGTTGCTGACACTGGAATATCTTTATTCATCATCAGAAGATCTCTGGAATTGGTAACCTAATCAGCAGTGCTGTTTGAGAACACATCTAGGCCTGCATTTGAATCCAGCCTTTCTCTGTAAGCAAACAGAGGCGCTGTGTGCCATGCTGAGGTAACAGGGGGGCTGTAGGCAATATCTGGAACACAGCAGCAAGGCAGGAGTGTTAGCTTGAGCTCACATTGTCCCACAGACAATTCCTCAGCCTCTAAAAGTGGCAAGTATTTAGATTGTTGGCAGTCCAATCTGTAAAATCCATACTGAGGCCGTATAAGGAGGAATTTATAAAAAAAGTTGAAATATGTCAAGTTTTATCTGCTCCAAGCCCATATATCCATGCACAGTATAAGCTTAATTTTACACAGTGTTGGCTGCCATGGCCACACAAGCACGAGATGAGAATGTGCCATTTTCGTCAGCTTGCTATTTTCCTTTTTCCCAAGTCCCATAACTACATTTTTTACTTAGAAATTACAGTGCTCTCAAATATATTTATTTCCTAATCTATTTTTTCCTCTCTCTCAACAGTTCTTTGCCTTCGTGGTTACCTCCTGCTATGCTGGAAATACGTATTTTAGCTTTATATCCTGGCGATCACGAACTTTGCAGTAAATACTTTGTTAAAGTGAATTCTGTAGTGTAAAGTACCTTGAGGATTATTCACTTTTTATAAAAACTTGGAAGAGGGGTGAGGTATTTTTGAACATTTCTCCTAGAATAGACACAATATAAACTGAAATAAATTTATTATTTATAATAACGCCATCTTTAGAGACATTTTTAACCTGACTTTGTACTATATAATAAAATTTCATACTGCTTCTTTTAAAATTAACATAGTATTTTTCTAGACATTGTATAGTTGTTACTACTAGACCTGAAAAGAAGTCTTACACAATGTGCCACGAATGGAAATGTAACTTTTTAAATGTTACAGTTTTACTTTTGATACTGAAGGCTATCAAAACTAAGATTGATATTGTATCATTATTATGCATGAAAAAGTGACATTGTGCAGAAAAAAAACCCCACCTGAAAGTTTAAAAAATAAATCAATAAATGATCCAACTGTTTTGTAAACTGAGAGTAGAAGGTTGCTATTTTATTTTCTTTTTCAGAGTACAATATGTACTACCAAGAATTCTGATGATCCTGTCAGTGTGCACAGTCTAACAGCTTCTCACATCACAAGGTTGCTTTTGGAACCTGTTGCTGTAGGTCTGAGGCTCAGGTCTAAAGCTGAAGAAATGTTGTGCCTGGAACACATTATCTTAACAGGTTTCTCAGATCCAACAGGTTCCAAAGCAGGAGCCCAGACAACACCCCCTTAGTGCCTGGTGCTTAACCTACTGAGGGCATCACAAATCTCTGGCTAAAGGTAGCACTTCTTGTTTCTCAGCAGACTATGATTGTTTGGGTTTTCTTCTCAGATTAGGCCATTACTCTCTCTTATTAAAATCTGGGCCTTTAAATCCTATTAAATGATACAAAGATTAAATCCACAGAAGAATTGTCAAGACACCAGTGCTACAAGCAAGGAATTTTCTCCCTCCTTTCCTGTCTACTGGCATCATCTGCAATTTGTTAGTTTAACAAATGAAGTTGGTACTCCTATTTAAATAACTTTGAATCAAGCAGAAGTATGACAGAATATGACTTTCAAAATAGATACCTTTGAAAATTACTTTCAAATACAAATTACCTAAGGATTTTTTTTCCCAGAAATTACATGGTGAGTGAAAGGTTGTGATTACTTTATGATGTTATTTAAAGCTTTCCTCATTTAAAACCACTGGTGAATCTTTTATTCTTGGATTAAGAAGATTTGGATTCCCTTCTAGTCTTCAAAAGCTTATTTGGTTGATAATATATGGTAGCAGAGAAACCTTACTGCTTAAAAAAATCTTTTTTATTTCTCCTTGTAGCTAAATGGTGTGTGGTTATTTACATATGTGCTTGCAGAAGATTTATCAGCAGACAGCTAATTCCTTTCTTGATCACATGGTTTTCTTCTTGATTATCTGTCAGTCATAAGATTTCAGTGTAAGGGAAGCCAAGATATTATTTAAAAACCTATACTTGTCTGCAAATTGCACTTGGCCTACACAACATAGGTCAGGCTGTCTGCTGCTTGCTAAATTTATCCAGTTGTGAGAAGGAAGAATGGCTACCAACTCTGCATTTTATCAACAGAGATGGAATGTATCATTAAAATACTGTATGCTCTTTTCCATCACTGGGAATAAAAAGAGTCAAAGGCATTGAAATGATCCAAGTGCCAACTAATAAAATGTGATTAGAAATATAGCTAGAATTAAAATTTCATCAGTGATTTCTCATCAAAAAGCTTCAGTAGTACTAGAAATTCTTTCTTAATAGTTATTTGATGTATCTATTTCAGCTCCGAAGGATGTGACTATGTTTGCACAAACATTTTGAGATTTTATAATAACTGCAATGGTTTGGTCTAAACTCATAACCCAGACCTCATTTTTGGACAGAGGCAGTAAGAGGGAGTAGAGCTAAGAGGAAGTTCTGTTTTGTCCAGTTTACCTAAGATTGTCATGGCAACTGTGTGTTACATGTCAGAATTAGCCCTTTAATGTAAGATAAAACCAGATAAGGAGTGATTCTGGCAAAATATCTACATGCTCTCTGAGACTTCAGTGCTGATCCTCAAGGCTCAAGGGAAGATCTGCAGAATGACTTCCAAAGACAAATCTGTGAGTTGAATCCTTAATTCTGATTTTTAAAAAATACATACTAGGCAAAAATTTGCTTTGTACTTGGCCTTGCTTTTTTTTTTTTTTTCCTTCACAAATCATAACTTACCTACCTTGCTCTGTCCTTTCACTAAGATAATTATCTTACTTCCCATGCTCTTTCTCATCTGTTTCATTTCTCAACTGTTGCCCAGGCACCAAGTGTCTTGCTTTTCAGATGTTCTGAATATCTAATTAAAATTGGAGGAGTCAGCACAAGCTGACCATTCCTTTTGGAATTTGTTCCTCCAATTTCAGGCCTGAAGAAAGGCATAAGCACCTGAAAGATTATCTTCCAGTTCACTAGTCTTAAAGTATGGAAAGTATGAGTTAATGCATTTGTATATTCTAATATTGATAAAGAAGATAAGCTAGTTGTGGTTTATCATATAACAAAACAAAATTTGTATCTGCTTAGGTTAGTACTCATAAGATTGAAAGAAGCCTTAAAAGAGCAACTGGTAAGTGATGAAGTCATTAGTGAAATTCTTAATATAGATATTTACAAGAATAAACAAACTGCTAATCAACTTGGAAAATGAAGGTTTTTAACTTATAAATAATTTGCTTCAGACGGTCTCTGAAAATCTAAGTCCCATACATAAGGGTACTTGATGTCAACTTATGGCCATTAATTTCCATTTATTAAGGAGTTGTCAGTACCTTTTTTCATCACAATGCACTTAACAAGACAGTAAATAGCATGAGAACTGTCATAAAAACTTCAAATACAGTAGAGTTAGGTTGACTTTGTCCCAGTGCTTCACAGAAGGCGTCTGTATTACTGGGTAGAAAATATGTCTGTTATTTCACTTGTATTACTTTAAAGTTATTTCTGTTTCAGTGCCCTGAACTCAGATCAGCAGGGCCCCAGTGACACACACACTTTAAAAAAAAAAAAAAAATACAGAATTGAAGAAGCTGAACCAGCAGGTAAAACCCACATATTTCTAAATAGGAGGTGAAGAAGTTACTGGAACCTTCCTCCACAGGGCTTACAGAAACCTGTAGCCATGCATGCTTCCAAATAGGAAGCAAAATAGGAACTGTAGGGAGAAGAGGAAAAAAACAAAACAAAAAACCAAACCAAAACAAAAAACAAACAAACAACCCACAAACAAACAAACAAACCAGCTGTTTAAAAGTGTTAAAAGTAGAACAATTTTTTCCTTTTTTTCTCAGCAGCTAGCATTTTACACTTTTGGCAGTAGCGAGTATTGTAGATTTGATATCTAATGACATGAGATAAAATGTGGTGGGACAGGTAATACTTTTTATTGCAACCACAAGATGGCTTAACAGAAGTCCAGAACTAGGTACTGCTTAATCTAGTGAGGACCAATGCCCACATTGGCAGACCCACTTTGCTCCAAGTAAATTGGTTATGCTGGGGCCTGATGTGTGTTTGGGGTCATCTGGGCTTACATGTCTTCCCTCTTAGAACAATTTTAGTTGTTGAAGGAACTTATTAAATATTTAATATGAACAGAACCTGCATTGTAACTGTAGAACAAAGCAGCAGAAGATGGGGTTACTACTGCAGTGAGTACAAAAGTGGCATATGCCCAGCTCAGAGGCCTGCTATTACCTCAGTTGTCAGAAAGAAAAGTTATTTTTAAACTTGAGGAAATATATAGCTTCCTTTGCTGTGTTTCGTTAGTATTGCCGTATGATTTAATTCAAACACTGGGCCTGAGACATCTGGACAGTCCTTACAGTTTTACCTGTTGCTGCCCATTTAATGCAAATGGTTTATATCTTTTGCGAGATGGAGAATCAGAGGACTGGGAGGCGGCGGGTTGGCAGGAGTGGGTGCCGTGTGGGAAGCCGCTGCTTGCAGCTGTGCCCCCACAGCAAAGCACCGGCGTCGCTTCCCTCGCAGCGCACCGCCGACAACCTCCGCGCTGCGGGGTTTGTCACTGTCCCGCCAAGCTGCTCGGTGCGGAGCTGCATCCCGGCAGGCGTCCCGCTCCCTTCGGCCTGCTTCATGTCACCCAGGGCGGGGGGAGCGTCCCTGCCTTGCTCCCGCTCCCGGCTGTCCCGGGCCCCGTGCCCCGGCTGGGTGCGGCGGCGTCTCCCCAGCGGCGGAGAAACCCCCGCGGCGCCCCTCGGCCTCCCCGCCCCGCGGCCGGGCGGGGACGCGCCGCGCTCCGCCCGGCCCCGCCGGCCCCGGGGCGCCGCCGCCCGCCCCGCCCCGTCCATCCCATCCCGTGCCATCCCGTGCCGATCCCCGGGCGGGCCGGGCAGCGGCGAGGGGAGCGGACGCGGCCATGTCGCACGGGGCGCGAGTGATCCGCACCGGGGTCAGCAGCGGGGGGCCCGCGGCCCCGCCGCCCGTCACCGTCGCCTCCTCCTCGGCGGGCTCGGACGCGGAGCTCATGGACGGCGGCTATTTCCGCTCCTGCGCCGGCATGCTGAAGGTGGCTCAGATGGTAAGGGGCGAGCGGGGCGGGGGCCGCTCGCAGCCCGCGGGGATCGCGCTCATCCCTGCCGGACGGTTCCTGTCGCAGAGCGCCGTCGGGCAGCGCCGGAGCCGCGGCTCCGGGCGGGTTTGGCCCCGCGGCTCTCGCAGCTCCCAGCAGGACGAAAAGCCCACGTTCCTCTGGCTGAGCGCAGCCTTGCCGTCTGTCGGAAGCTGCCTTTGCCTTTCCTAATGCAGCAACCAGCACTTTTGGCCAGACGGACGTGTACGAGCCAAAGTAGCAGTGTTAACTTGTTGCCGTGAACAGCGATAGCGCCGTGATGCGATGGCACATCGTGCTGCAGTGCAGCACCTCATCCGTAGCGTGGGTAAGGTTTTAGGAGACAGCGGGGCCAAGTGCCAGTGCCCACAACGATCTGGTGGAGGTGGGCACCACAACTCAGGCTGCAGCTCCAGCTGGCTGCGTGCCTTGTCTCTCAGAGACCTCCAGCAGTGACCCGGTGGGAGATGTATGGCTGAAATTCAAAAGTAGTCGATGGTGGAACGCTGCCAGGATGTGAGCTGATGCCTTAAGTCAGTGCATGAAATTCAGCCCCATGCAGATGTGGAGAAGATTAACAGATAGATTAGCTCTTTCTCATTTTTATGGCCATAATTATCTGTGGAGTGATTTGTCAGCTTAATTACAGTAGTGGCAAGGATAGTACCCAGGAAAGAGCATGAAAGACATCATGTACAGATACCTCCATATGTACGTTTATATCCTACAAAAACTTGTGCCTTGACAGAGTTTTATCCTGGAGTTATAGATGATTAGCACCCAGATTTCTAAAATTACATTCAAAGTTAGGATTCATTATGTTCTAAGTTACTGAGTAGTGGTAGTATCAAATCCTCAAGTTTATCTTTAAAAGCTGTCCAGTTTCTTCCAGTTCATTATTGGCTGTCAGCTGACCTTACAAATGACGCTCAGTAGCAGGAGATGAAGTTGACCATGACAGGTCATGGCTGCCTCTACCCGCTGAGCATCTGCCCTGCGCTCGTGAGACCTCGGAGCTGACCCTCTCTGTGAATTCTGTGCAGTAGGAGCACAAAGAGTTGTCTGCTGCCTTCTCCTGGCTTGGGTTCTTCCCAAACCACTGAGCAGATCTGGGGAATCTTTGCAGGAGACAAGTGAGCATGTGTCTACATTGCAACAGAACGTGTAGCCCTAAAGCAGTAGACTTGTGCTCTGCTGATGAGCTGGAAGCCTATTTGCTTTCACCACTGTGGAAAGAGCAGTTCCTTTTATGGACTACAAATAACTCATCCTCTCTGCCCTCCATCCTGCCCTGGTGTCTCTGAGGTGTGACTCCTAAAGCTGCCACAGCACGGGTATTTGTGCTGTAATGTCAGTTTCTGGTGCATGTATTAAGTGCATGCATTCTTTACATGCTTTACATATTTTCATGTGCTGGATGTAAATCTATCTAATTTTATGTAATGCTTCACATACTTTGCATAAAGCAATATTTTATCAATGCTATTGAATTGATACTCCTCCAAATTTAAGCAAGTGGCTTTCTGTGGTGACTTTATCAGAAGTTAAAATCATCCAAATTATTTTTTCTTTGCACTCTTTCAGCTTCACCTTCTTAAATTTTTATGCTTTTCATCCTGCCTGTAAGCATCAGTAGGAGTTACCTCAGGTATTCAAGGAACTTTGGGCAAATGAACTTCTTGAAATATCACATATCACAACAGCACCTTCTCAAATAATTCCATAAGAAAAGCAAATGTCTGTGTTGTAGCATGTAGAAATAACCATGATACATTAGTTCTAGATATACTCCTGCACCAAATAAAATAGAGAGAGCTAAATATTTTTGCAATTCTCTTTTATTTCTTCTCACACGGTATTTATACCCACAGCTCCATTTGTATGAGCATTCAGTTCTCCTAGTACAAAATGTTGGCAGTAACTTTTTCTGGTAAAGATTTCTTCATGCTAAATCTGTAAATATTCCTGCACTAGTGTTGGTGTGGCTGGTGGCTGTAGTCTTCCTGAGAATCCTTATGCTGGCAAAGGAAAAAGGTAAGGTCATTTGGGTTAGATATATATCACAATAAATTATGTGCTGGGCCTCTGAGTGATTGTGGTTGTGAAGAGGAAATGTTACAAGTTTTGTTTTCTCTTTCTTCCTCAATCCCCTTTACCAAGAAGTAGACAGTGTGATAGAGAGCAGGAAAGAAACCTTTCATAATTTACTGTTATGTTAAGGGCTGTTTGCTGTCCTTGCAAGCTAAAAAATCCCAACAATTGTATGTATATGTGAGTGACATTAATCTAATATATGGCAACAACATGCTATGGAAATCATAGGAAGAAAACAGAAGATAATGTTACAGCTGTTCTGCTGTAAGACAGAAGGACTAAAACTCAGGATTATTGAAGAGATTGTGCAGCCTGAATTGTTGCTAATGTTGAGTGTTACCAGTGTATTCTTTTGAAATTCTGGGTGTCTAGCTGTGGTGTCTAGCACAGAATGAAATTAAGAAGAAAAAAGTGTTTCTTGCCTGTAAGCCTAGAGAAGTTCCTTTGCTTTTTTTTTTGCTAGAGAATTTCTTTGACCTTGCAGAATTATTATAGCTTTGAAAAGACCTTGTATTTTATGCATTGACTTCATGGCCTAGGGAATAGTCTATAAATATGTTGAAAATAAAATGGAGGGGGAAATACAGTTATGCAGACTTGTGTATTTTGTGTGGCAGTAAGACAATTTGAAAGCTGCTTTTCCATATGTGACTGTTACTAACCTTAGTTGGAGCTCTTTTCAAAATACATACTGAACTGACATTCTGATTTTAACAGGAAATTGCAAAGTATTTCAACATCTGACTTGCTCTAGCTTGCTTAACTTGATGTTGTCAATGCAGCTTTTGCTTTTCTTTCCTCTTTTTTTTTTTTTTTTTTTGGGGGGTATTTGCTGTTTTGCCAAGACCACTTAGGGATACATGCAGGATCCCACTGTGGCCACCTTGGTTCTGTAGCAGCAGTGTACTAAGCAAGTGTGTGAGTGGGTATGTATCAGTGTGCACAATGCACTTAAACCAGAGAAACTGATGCGAGTGACTTGAATTTTCACCAGCTTGCCAAAATTGACACAGGTGGCACTCTCCAGCATTCTGCATGAGCTCTGCTGGTTTGGTTGAGGGACATTTGCTTTGCGTTTGTGCTACTGCTGGCTTGTTTTATTATAAGCCTTTGTAGGAACCTCTGTTGCTTAGCTTGGCAAGCTCTCAATAGATGGGTTTTTGGGAGTTTTTTGAGGCATCCTGTGCCATTAGGGTCAGTGGTATGAATGTGCATTTGTCTTGTCACCAGGATGGCTCAAGTGCCAGCGCTGATAGATTGAAACAAGTCTGGTTCCACTGAATTTGTCCTGGAGCCCTCATGTGCATTTCATATTTTTACGGCTGAAGTCTGGAGGATGCCACTGACAGTACTGGACGAGGTCCTGCTTCCAGCACAGCCCATGTTAGACAGGGGAGCCTGTGTAGGTGTCCCCCTCTTAGACACTTGGTAGGAGTGACTGCATCACCTGTCCTGTCCAGAGTGTCTGGGGAGAGTGTAGGACAGCCATCATGACACAGCACGTGCTTGTGTAGGTCTTTCAGGCTTCTCAAACTATTGTCAGACCACTCCTTTTTCCTGAGAGGTGCAGAGTGACCCATGGTCTTCTCGGGCTCTCTTTCCCCTCCGCCAGGCTGGGCCAAGCTAACTTTGGTCACAATTCAGACTGAAGGCCATTGTTCCCACAATGACACCACTGTTACTATTACAGCTCTGTTGGAGTAAGCAAAGCCTCAGAACACAGGGTGTTTTAAGCTAAAACCAGTGCTGATTCTGTCAGCTCAATATGAGCCATCAGTTTCACAAGACAGAAAACAAGAAAATCAAAATTACCTTCTCAAGGCTGAAGAAAAGATTTACAAGCAATTGTAGTGTAAAAAAAAGATAAACTCAATGCAAGTTGACTTAACAACATTATTTTAACTTGTTAAAAATGCTGAAGCAATAGCTAAAGCTTTTCTGCAGGGTATCCATTTAATTTCCAAAGTATGCCTTGATAAAAGCAATGACATACTTGACAAGTGAATGGCCAACAAGCCAGTCTGTAATTCTGAGCAACTTTGAAGTGTACTGAAACCTCTCTGGGTTATTTGTGTACTAACATATAGTTGCATAATAGTATTCAAGAGAATATTCATTCATCTAACACTGAAGGCTAGAGAATGCTGGTAGTTAGGTTGCTATAGCCAAGTTCCATTTCTGACCATGCTATATAATATCAGATAAATTTACTGGAGAGCTATATTCAGAAGAAGTTAAAATATGAAAAGAAAGCAAAATCTGTTAGTGCAAGAAAACAATTCCTGATCCAAATCATTGATGCAAGAAAAAGAAATTCACAAAAGCAAGTGCTTTCTGGAATTATTTGAGAGCTAATCAATCTTTTAACTTGATCTTGAGACTGAAACATCTTTTTGTCCATGGAGGTGATTGAAGTAAAACATCTAATTCCGTGCAGCAGTGTGTCAGTGGCTTCTGTGGTTATAAAGCTGCTCAGTCAGAAGAGAGGCATTCTGGTGATATGCAGAGGTGCTGAATTTGTAAGTGTGTCTGTGAGTCCTGTATAGACTCTGCTTTCTGGGAGATTGTGGGAAAGCACCCCAAAAATGTTCAAGATAAACTACTGGCTAAGCAGTGAGACGCATTTTCAGAGGCCAAGGTCAGAGCTGTTGTAGCTGCTCATTATTTTTGTTCTGCTGGAAAACTGCAGTCAAAGGACCTTGCTGGGGATGCTAAACAAAGAGAAAGAAAAAAAAAAATTATCAGCGTCTTAGAGGGCTCCAAAGTAAGCTGGAGCACTCGAGTAAGGAATGTCCAAGCTTAGTAATTAAGCCCAGTAGGACTGGGAGGCCCTGTTATTTCCCCTCTGAGAACACCAAAGCTGGCTGCTTCAGCCA